AAGAAGAAGAAGAAGAAGAAGAAGAAGAAGAAGAAGAAGAAGAAGAACCACCAGCCAGTATTCAAAGCCTCAGCCCAGGAACACAAACACTTTATTTAGCTTGTCTAGAATCGTTTCTGTCAGTCCCATCCCCACCTTCCAGCTCAAACTTGACAGCTCATCATTTCCTGCATTAAAATTTCAAACTCCTTGATTTGGTCTTTCTCGTCACATTCGTCTCAGCACTGCTCATGAATCTTCAACCACCTCCTTACATAACACTCCCGCACAAGGTAAACAAGGGGAGCGCAGTGCTCCGAGACACACGTGGCGGTTCGTGACCCTGCTTCCTCCAGCGTGCTGTCTAGTCCACATCCTTTCCAGAATGTGTGGCTTAACCTCTCTCCCTCTTCCAGGAAGCCTCTCTCAGCCACCTCCCCACCAAAACACCTGCATGCTTTTACAACCCTGTGGAACATTCTTTTCCCTGCGCGTCTCTGTCAAGCTTCTTCCGTGCTGGTCTGCTGTTGGCGTCTCCCCTTGCTTCTTTCACCGCTGCACTGTGTGCGTGTGTTCTCCCTCCCAAGGTCAAGGATCGCATCTCCTGGAAGCTAGAACTGAAGAGTACTAGTTGTCATGCTGATAAGAATGGACCCATGGAAGAAAGACAAAGACAAGCCAGCAACTCTTCGGTCACCAAAAACAAAGAAAAGCCCCATGTGACTTCCATGAAAATACCCTGCTCCTGAACTCTGTTCTCCAGATAGATCAACCATTTATTCTTGTTCCCATCATCATGTGGTCTTCATTTCTTCATCTGTGAGCAGCATATATTTCCTTTGGTGGATGTGTTTCAAAACTGCAGATTAAAATTACCTAGACTGTATATTGTACAGACAAAGTTATTAAAATACAGAGGTTTTTTCTATTTGAAAACTTGGTACACCGTTTTCTAGGGATTTTAAACTTCAATACAATTCTTTTCACGGTTGTTATTTCTTCCTAAATACTACAGCAACCTCCAACGCCACATCAGGCTGATTTACTCCTCCCTTCCTGAGTTTCCTGGTAGTTCCTAAGTCTAAAAACGAACATGCTCAAGAGCACATGCCACTGTCCTTTGATGTCCCCTCAGAATAAGGGGTTCTTACTTCTAGTTCTGGTCTGCCACTGTGTCTCTTCGGGAAGCCCTGGTTGTCTATACTATACTGTCAATAAAATGGGGACAATAAAGCATGCGTTTGTTTTCAGCCTAGGGTAGGATGGTCAGGGTATAATATCCTAGGTCAAAGGGCATCTACGAGGGACATCGCAGCAGTTTCAGCTGTGTTCTCTCCGCATGGCAGAGCAGACTAACATTTTCCTTCTATTTAACTGTAGCTTGTTCAGGACCAGCTCGTGTCAAACACCTGGCCTTGGGCCATCTTCCTCCCCCATCCTCCCAGGCAGCTAGGACTTCAAGGACCTGTCACCATGCCTGTGTGCTCTTGATGATGGAGCTGACCTTCCTCCTCCTGCTTCACCATGCCCAGATTTCCCTCTTTCTCTTTCCTTCTCCTTCTCTGCCCACCCCCTCCCCATCTCCTACATCTGGTTATCCCAAAACTTACTGTGTAGACAGGCTGGCCTTGAACCCACAGAGACCAACCTGCCTCTGCCTCCCAGGTGCTGGAACCTAAAGGCATGCACCACCACACCGGCTGCCCTGCGAGGACCCAGATCTTTAAGTGATTGCCTTAAAACTTGAGGTTAGCTGGGTGTGAAAGCCCATGCCTGGAATCCTGGCACTCA